CCCCATAAGGGCCCCAGGGTGCGGAAAACGTCCCCCCCCCCCCCATCTGCTCTTGAACCCAAACCCCCTCCTCCCCCTCCCCTCCCTCTACATCGATCCGGAATCCCCCCCCTTTCCTCCACCATCGCCTCGCGCACGCACGTACGCGCGCTCCCCGAAAAAACAGAGAGATTGCGGAGGCTCACATGGCGGTATCGGTCGCTGACTGGGCGGAGGGCAACCCTATCTCCGCCAAGAGAGAGGCGGAGCTGGCCCTTCGCGCGCTGCTGGAGGGGAAGCTGGGGTACGTGGACAAGGACGAGGCCCTACGGCGGGAAGGGCGGGCGCCGAGGGGAGGGGGGGGGGAGGGGGCGGAGGGCGTGCCGGTGCCCCTGGGCCTGTGCGTGGCGGCGGCGGGGATGCTGCTGACCGCGTGCCGCGGAGGGTGAGTGGAGGGGAGGGGGTTGTCGTGTTTGTAACTGTTTGGTGGTTGGAGCGAACGTTACTCTCTGTGTGCATGTACCGATTTTTTCTTGTCCCTTCTGGCGTGCGTAATAGGAGCGGCGGTTGAAGCCAACATATCTCTCTGTGCGTTGTGTTTACATGGCTTTGTCCATCCCCCCTTTTCCTTTGTCATGACCGTAGCGTGCTTCGTAGGGGTTGTTAGGTGGGGTGGGGGGCTGTCTTGCGTTTCGTTTACATGCGGTAGGTTTAGGCGGTGACACCCGAGTGTATGTGGACAGCATGAGCTTGCTGTGCCGAAGATAGGCTGCGTCAAGCGTTTCCCCCCCCCAACACAAGTGTCATCGCGGTGTGACACTTGCGGTCGCCGTGAAGTGAAAACCCGTAATGCAAACTTGCCGGTTGCTTTTCACGCAAGGTGCCGCTTGTGGTGCTATCCAGCAGGGCGCCCACCTCATGTCACCACACACGCCAGCCAGCCCTCCCGCCCGTCGTCCCTGTTATTTTCTTTGATACGCTCGCTCGCTTGCCCCCCCGTAATTTTGTGTCACCTTTCTTCGATGCAATGCTACTGCACGGGCAGGCAAGGAGGCAAAAACCTCGGCAGCAACAGTAGCAGCGGGGCGGCGGCGGCACCGGGCGAACGTCTTAGCGGGAAAGATGGGGAGGGGGCCCTGTTGTGGCTCTGGAGAGTCTTGCAGGTAAGGTTTGCCTTCATATCGTTGCTGCGCCTGCGCCTGCGGCTACTTTTGTTGACAGCAGTCTTTTGTGCAGGGATTGTTGATGGGCTTCTGCTGGGTGTTGGACTTGCTCGAGTCTTGTTTTTATGTCTATGCCCTTGTCCCAAATACTGAGGGAGAGATGAGCCTTGATGCAAGCGTTTTTTTCATTCCCTCAACGTTGCCGACATCTTGCTTGGAATTTTCCCCTCGTACATAACACCGGAGCGAGAAAATCGCACGCACAACAAATGAACCAAACAAAATGATAAACGAAAAAACAGGTTCACTTCCCGGGGCGTTCCTCCACCCTGGGCACCGCCTCGGGGCCCCGCGAAGCGCCGCTGTGGGGGTCGCATCCCCTCGTCCCCGCGATCGCGTGCCTGCTGGCAGGGAAAACGTCGGCCGACCTATCGGAGGCCGAGGCCGGTAGTATGCTGTTGGCGTCGCTTAAGAAGCGCGGCTCCCGTCGGGAACGGGGGGGGACGATGGACTGGTTGGGGAACCAGCTCAAGACCGGACCATTTCCTGGCAACCACGTGAGTTCATTGGGGGGTTGGGTGTACTCATGTAAACGCAGGCCGTAGTCGTTTGACCTTGCATCCCTGCAATGGCGGGACGGAGCGATGTGCCGGGTTTTCGCGGACCCAGGCTACATACGTTTCGCGAGGGTGATCCAGAAGCTGTTCATCTTGCAGTCACTGTTTCGCTTTCGCTGCTAAGCGAGTACGGTGTACGGTATGCATTCGTTGCCTTTTTTCACACTTTGAATCCTCGCCCCCCCACCGTCCCTAGCGTCTCCTCTCTAACACGACCGCAGTCCTACCCCCTCCCCCCCCCTCCTTGCTCTATTCCACCCCGACTTCTTACCAACCCCCCACCCCTACGCGCGGACGCGTGACAATTCTCTCTCCAGCTGAACACCCTGTTGAGGCGAAAAAATGCTGCCAGCCCCCGGTTCGACGGGGGCGGAGGGGGAGCGGGGGGGGCAGAGACCCACCTGGACCCGCCGGATGCGATGGCACGGCTGGTGTCGGTTCTCCTCAAGGGCGAGGGCGGGTTTGTAGAGAGGTGGTTCAAGGTGTCGTCTTCGTGCTCGGGCGGGGCCGCGGAGCTGCTGGCTCCTCCCGACAGCTTCTCGTGGCTCCTCGGGGCCCTCGGAGACGGGGGGGGAGCGCCGCCGCCCTTCGCGGGTGAGTTTGTTTGTTTCTTGGGGTTGTTTTTTTGTGCTGTTTGTTGCTGGTGCTGGTGCTGGTGTGAGTTTGTATTTTCGGGTTGTTTATTGTGCTGCTTGTTGTTGTTGTTGTTGCTGATGCTACTGGTGCTGGTGCTGGTGTGAACGATATACTGTATTTTTACTGTACACGGGGCGTTGGGGGTGGGAGTGAGTGGGTATGGTCTTGGGAGGCTGTTGTCTGTGTCGTGCTCCCTCTACTTGTTTTCTCTCCCTCTCCCCCCCCCCCCCTTCTTTCTCTTTTTCTCTCTCCCTCTCTTGGCACTCCCGTTCGCTATCACTCCCTTAAACACCAGCACTCGCACGCACGCACCCTCCTCCTCTTGCGCACGCGTGTGCCTGTCTATGCCGCGAACTGTCAGGAGACCCGCCGCCTACCCCGGTCAGCGCGGTGCCGAAGCAGGTCTCAGGTGGTGTCGACGCCTTCCTGTCACACGTTCGATCCGTCCCGGGCAGGCTCTACGTGGATGGACAAGTGAGAAGAACGGCGGGGCTACTGTAGAGCTGTAGAGAGGGAGGGACTTGAAGGAGGGAGGTAGTTGGGGCGGACGAAAATAATATTAACTAGGGTGAGAATTGCCAAAGCGGAGAGGTGCACGAGGCAGGAGGAGAGAGCAGCAGAATGGCTGAGCAACGTGGTGTGGGTTTTGGGGAGCGGAGGACTGGGTTGAGAGACAAGTCCAGCGGTGACGGCCCTTGCGGTTCGGGTCGTGCTCTCCGACGGCACCCCCCCCCCATTGAACCCCCTGTCCCCCCGTCCCCCGCCCCCCCCGCCGTGCGCGCCCCTCTCGCGGAACCCCTTCGGCCAGGTTACGGGGCTATCGCCCGAAGACGAAGCGAAGAAGCGAACGCAAGACCAAGAGTCGGACGCAGACGGAGCCCTCAAGCTCTTGCCCTTAAGGATACCAACGGAGTGGCAAGTGGTCCAGGTAAAAAGAGCGTCTGCTGGTTTGTGCCGTCTATATCCCATCCAAAGCCTTTGGGCTACTCCGTACGTTTTATGGGTAGAAACGTTTCCTACATCATGTATTGTGGAGAGATGGAGCTCTGAAAACTCCGCCCAGAGGGGGGGGGGTCTGATAAACACCGTCAGTCACACGGGAATGATATATCTTACTTTGCGGGGTGTGCGGCAACGTACGCTGAACGATCCTGTTGGATATTTCCTTCCTGTGGGCCGGATACCGACGTTGTTTGGGCGACGAGAGAGACTTCTCCTTTTTTTAGCCGCACTGAGATAGACTGGCGTATTTTCATTGGTCAGCCGGGAAACGCGCGGTCGATGCTCCAAACGAAGACACACACGGACACGACACCCCCCGTCGGTTGTGGTGATGTGTGTCATGTATGCTATGTCCTCAGGTGGCCTGCGGGTTCCGGCATTCGGCTCTGGTGACCGCGAGCGGGTTAGTGCTTACCCTTGGGCACGGTGAGACTGGCCGGTTAGGCCACGGGGACGAGGAGGATGCTCTCGAGCCCAAGGTGAGACTGGAGAGTTGCTTGTGGGAGATGGGGGAAGGGAAGGGGAAGGAGAGAGTTGCTTATGCAAAGGCGAGATAGAAAACGGGGAAAGCGAAGGGAAAGGAGAGAGTTGCTTATGCAAAGGCGAGATAGAAAACGGGGAAAGCGAAGGGAAAGGAGAGAGTCGCTATACGACGGTGAGATAGGAAATTGGGGAAGCGAAAGGAGAGAGGGAGTTAGTTGCTGTAGACGGCAGTGGTCGAGGCGGTTTTGAGAGACGCAAGCACGTAAGGCACGGGGCGTGGAGATGATGGCGAGTGGAGGAGGGGGGGGAGGCTAGATTGGGAGGAAGGACAGCGGGGGAGAGGGAAGGGGCGCAAGGAAGTTTCGGGCTTGTTCGGTGCTATTATATGTATACACGGTGTATTTTTGCGAGGTATGAAGCTGAGCACCTGTATCTAGTTTTTTTGCACTCCTTTCCCGGACACGAGACAGGTTTTAATCTTTTTTTTACCCGTCAAGTCTCAAAATATGTCTCTTGCTGTGTGCTTCCACCGCCGCCGCTCTATCCCCCAGGTGGTTCGTGCGTTAGCAGACACCAAGCAGGCGGTGGTGTGGGCGGGGTGCGGGAGAGAGCACACCCTCGTCGCCCTGGCGTCGGGCAGCGTTTACTCCTGGGGCTGGGGTGAGGGAGGACGCCTTGGGCTCGGAGAGGTGGACGCGGTGCTGTCCCCTCGTCGCGTGGAAGAGGTGAGAACGCGCGAGACACACACCAAAAATAGGCCGCAACAACAGTCAACAACAGTCGTGGAAGTACTTCGGCTTCAAGCAGATATAAGTTCCCCATGTACGACATCACGCGACCTTCTTTCGGCTACATCCCCGCCGAACCCCCCCCCGCCCAAGAGGCCCTAGAGGACGGGGATAAGATGTGCAAGAAATTTTTATGGAGTTTGTGCCAGAAACGTAAAGAGCTTCCAAATGTTGGTGGTGTCTCTAGTAGGTGTAGGAACGGTGCTCCGTCTCGAAAGGGACGCGTGGTCAATGGTCAAATGACTACGGCAAGCAACAAATGAGTACGCCCCCCCCCCCCCCCCCCCCCCCCCGGTTTTGTCCGAGGGGGGGAGGGTTTTTT